GGGTAGGCTTTAAGAGACATAATATTTGTTTAATGCAAGTGTAGCAAATGAAAAAAGAGGGAGGGGAGGCTGCCAAAAGAAGATCAAAGAAGGAAAGATCTAGAGGCTGAAGAGTGAAGTTGGGAGTACATAATTTTTTTTTGATTGACTGAAGTGTGATCAAGTTGAAATGGTTTGCTGTCTTTCATTTTGTGATTTTCCTGCAAACTGAAAGTATCTCTAGAATTGTTGATTGTACGTTGGTCCTGACAGGAAGGGTCGAAGCAGCCTGTTTCCGTTGTAATTTAAAGTGTCTATGGAGGTGCAAAACTTCTGCAATATCTTTTTTTTTGGCTGTTATACATTTGGTGTCTCTTCTGCAAGGGTAGTGATGCCTTCAATTCCTGCATGTGCTTAAATGGTGCAGCTGATGTGATGTCTACATTTTGTCAGCTGTACTTTTCTTTTCATATTGAACTTAATGAGTGTAATAATATTATATCCTTTAAATTTTTATGTATACATGCATGTGTTTTTACGGTCCTGCACAGGAAAGAAAAATTTCCCTTTGCGATAATAAAGTATTATCTTATCTTTTCTTTTCTTATCTTACCTTGTCTTTTCTTAAATATTCCACGCGTTATTGCATGTTACTGTCTTGTGATGAGAATTGGTTGCGCGCTCAAAATTAAGTGACTGTTACTTTTGTTCTGTTTTTGTAAAAGTGAAAAGTGGTTCATGTTTTTTTAAATCAACACCATGCTTTCGCGCTGGTATAACCAGTTTCGTTGACACAGCACGCAGAAGGCTTGGGTCTAATTCCCGATCAGAGAAGTAATTGTGTTTGAGGTTCTTAAAATTGTTATGTTTGGTTTTGGTTGGAGTTTTTTTTGTCTTAATCGAGTATCCCCCTCCAAACCGGATTGGCCCTGGTAGATAGGGTCGAAGTATCCAGCCTCCTAAATTGCATCAACTTTTTCGATAAAGGTGTGAAATAGTTGCCATGGTAACGGATATTTTCTTTACGTGTACCCACATACTATCGTTCAACATGACGGCTGTGCGAAAATGTCTCTCAAAGTTTCTTTGAGCGCAGTCTGTCATTTTCCTACATCTGTGACATTCCCGAATTTTCTTTTCAAGCCTGACTTTACTTTACAGATTTTCCCATCACACATCAACCCATCTCCCAGGGTGTCAGGTCTTGGCTCCCTGGTTACAATATGGGGTAATACAGTTCGTCTTTGTTACTTTGTTAGTAGAATGATCTTTCTTTTATTCTTGGGAAAAGAGAGAGAGAGAGA